TGAAAGTGAAAGTTCAAGTCAGCACATTGTTACGTCCCTCCGTGTGGTTTCTGATTCCTTGGTCATTTAGGTGTGGAAAGTCACAGAGATTCCATGTTTTTGATGATGCTAACGCCGGGAAGCTACCTTCAGGCCAAATCCAAACAATAATTGCTATCTTCAGTGCATTCTCTTCCATCCATTCTCTCCATTCTTAATCCAGCTTGTGAACATTTGCATACCCTGTGTGCTGCATAATTTTATCCATAGAAATAATGGGATTTTCAATAATGCTCTTCCTCTTATATTTTCGTTACGTTTGATTCTTCTCTTTGACTCTTCTCTCAAAGTCAGAAATAACCCTCATTATTCTATTTGAGTAAAACTCTACTCTGTTTCAATGTTATTTCATTTAGATGATGATTTTTAAATTTTTTTTTAATTAATTAATTAATGTGAGCTACAGAAAGGTAGAATGTTTTAAGCAGTAACGAATCCTTTCAGTCATTTTCACTAATTTCTCCAAGGCAGAGTGAGAATGTGACTCAGCCCAAACAAAATGCTCTCCCTGGTGTTCTCCTCACCAGCTCCCGTTTCTGTTTGTTTCAAACCACCCATCCTCATTTTGGCATGGTTTCAGATTGCCAGCACACTTGTCACAAAGATGAAACAACATGTTCTGCTTTGCTCTTGTTCTGCTGCTCCCCAGGGTAACTTTTTTCTGTGGTCCCTCTTTGAATTCCTACAACATCCATCCAGAACAAATGCAATTCCTTATCTTCTTTTCCACAACACTGACGAGTCACGGAACGCTTAAGGTTAGAAGGGACTTGTAGTTGTCATCTGGTCTAATGAGCAATTGCTTGTTTTTCTTCTGCTTTTATTTTCCCCTTTCTTTCATATTCATAGAATCATAGAATCATAGAATCACCAAGGTTGGAAAAGACATAAAAGATCACCCAGTCCAACCGTTCACCTCTTACCAACAGCTCCCACTAAACCATGTCCCTCAACACAACATCCAGCCTTTCCTTCAACACCCCCAGGGTCGGCGACTCCACCACCTCCCTGGGCATCCATTCCAGTGCCTGACCACCCTTTCTGAACAGTAACACTTCCTCATGTCCAGCCTGAATCTCCCCTGCCGTAGCTTGAAACCATTCCCCCTGGTCCTATCACTGATGACACGAGAGCAGAGGCCGACCCCCAGCTCACTACAACCTCCCTTCAGGCAGCCATAGAGAGCAGTGAGGTCTCCCCTGAGCTCCTCTTCTCCATGCTGAACATTCCCAGCTCCTTCAGCCTCTCCTCATCAGCCCTGTGTTCCAGACCCCTCACCAGCTTTGTTGCCCTCCTTTGAACACGTTCCATATTAAATCATCCTTAACCAGCGTGTTCTTGTACTCTGGCCTTTCCTCTCTCATCCCACCGTGAGGGAGTGAGCAATTAGCTGTGTGATTCTTATCTGCCTGCCACGTTACAACTCCAGAGTATTAAACATCCATCATGTTCACGTATGGTGAGCGTCACGTTTATCACGAGTACTAAACATTTGAAGGGACAAAGGTTTCAACCTTCCAAGTCTCCCTACTTTAGAGACCAATAAAGTAAACTCTTTAAGGAAAAGGAAAAGCAGGCACTGTTGGAGCATTATTCATAATTACTACTAGCCAGCATTTGGAACGTTTCTTCTTGGCTGTACCGTAGCCCACATGAAGTGTTCAGGTGCCATAATTTGAAGGAAATGAAAGAAAATCATCACCCCAAGTAATACCCTGTTGTGAGATGGTGATGTACTGTTTGAAAGTGGGACTGGAGGAGGCAAGGCTCACGAGATTTCTATTTGATACACCCTTCAGGATGATACGACTACCACTGCAACGCTGATCGCTTCTGTGCAGTAACAGAAGTCAGAGCGCCTGATTCAGATGTGAAAACCTCCACTACAGACTGACATTTCACTGGATGAATCCCACTTCTGCATTCGATTTAGGTAGATGCTTTAAGGCTTTGTTTGTTTTCTTTTGTGCTTTTTGAGCTCCCCGTATCTTTTCTGAGAAAATGTCAATCCTGCAACTCTGCCAAAATGAGAATCACAACCCAGCAGCAATCGCAGGGAAAACATTTGGCTTTGAATCCACAATGCAATTCTTTCCCTTGACGACTTTTGCTGGGAGAAACATTTCCCTGTTCATTTCACTAGCTCATTTCTGAGTTGCAATTCCTTTGTATCATTTATCCTCATACGAAGATCATTCCTTGTTCCATGCTCAGCCTTGTAATCCTTGACTTCTTAATTTTGTTCTCTATTCCTCTGCTTTTGTTTATCACTCCTGAGCTGGAGTTTTATATAAATAAGATGGGAATAAAGAACAGGTTCCTGGAGTCCCCCAGTCTTTTTTTTTTGTAAGGAGATCTAACAAGAAAGTGTATTAAAAGCCATTACTTCTTCTGTGGTCTTGTACCTAGGGATTCGTTTGTCCTCTACAAATTAAACTTCCCAACTCTCTAGATATTCATTTACATCTGACAACATTTCACTGTAGAGCCCAGAAATAGAAATATCAGCCAGTAAATAAAACAAAATAATGCAACCTCACTGACCTTATTAGTGGTCACCACGAGGAAATGATCCAGCACTCCGTGTCATCAATACAACAGTGGCAAGCAGACATTTTAACAATCTTCCTTTCCCAAAAATATAGACTGGTTTATGAGCAATTTCTTTCCTTTTTCTTTCAGAGGATTATCTAACATTCATCATGAAATCACGTACGCACCGCAGGGATGGCAGTAGCAGCCAAATTAACACAGAGGACTTTAATTCTGTGAGTGAGTGACATCAAGAGAAAGGGAAGAGAGAGGCAGTGGAGCTGCTTTCATCATTATTTGCTGCATGCGAGCGACTTGAAGCTAAAAAAATAGTCTTCATAGGATGGAAGAACAAGAGGTTACCCCATTAATTACTTCATTTCTGTCTTTCTCCGTATCTTCACTTGAAGTACATATTTTAAAAGACGTGCTTTTTTCTTTTTTTAAACAATAACAAGATCATAGAATCAATCAGGTTAGAAAAGGCCTTCAAATCATCAAGCCCTACCATCAACTTGATCTGTCAGCTCCCATCACAGCCATGCCCATTAGTGCCGTGTTCCTGTTGGTTCTTACCTGTTCTCCTGTAAAAAGAAATCTCAGTTTTTGCTCCTTTTAACTAATGGTTGATTTCCACTTCAGATGAGACCAGCAAATCCAGAGAAAACTTTCAGCCTTCTTTTCTGCTTTTCTCCCAATGAAAATGCTTTTCTTAAGAACCAGCGACTTGAGCACTGTGTCAGCACTGCAGAAATCGTGCCCAACAAAGTCCAAAGTCAACACATTATCAGGATTAAACCACTGACTGCGAAACGGGGTTAGAGAGAACATTTCAAGTGAAAATTGGGAATGTGAGGTATGCCAGTCATGTACAGCTGTAATGGCATTGCAAAATTTGTGGAAATAGAAAGGTAACATCTTCTCTTCAGTAAAAAAAAAAAGGATTTTCAGCGTAGGAAGAGAGAGAGAGGATGTGTTATACATAGAAGATGGAGACAACGTTGAAACAGCTTCACACCTGAAGCTATGCTGCTTCTCACACCAGGATGAGGCTCTGGGCAGAATGGGAAATCTGATAATTTTAGCTACATTTCACATCTTGATTCCTTTTAATTAGAACATTTTTAGTGTTTCTTTTAATTAGAACGTTTTCAGTGGCTTCCTATTTACTTAGCAGAAGAACAACGCACCAAAAAGAAAGGATAAAACACTCCTTCCCAAACCATCAGTGACTTCAGGTCTGTGAATGGATACTGTGGAGCGAGAGCTGCATGGATGAGGTGCCCAGGAACGTGTTTCTCTCGTTTATTTTTCCACACTTAGCCAGATGGATCCAAGGGTTTATATGTGAGCCCAAATATTTCATAACCTCCTTCCCTGTAATCCGAATGTCATTGTCAGGAACAGGAGTGGGCTTCCTTTTTGAAGTGCATATTCATGAGCCTTTTCAAATCCCAGCTGTTCGGTTTTGTGAGTTGTTGTTTTTGTTGTCATCGTTGCTTTTGTTTCTACCTTCCAGGAATACAAAAATCCTTCCAAGCCTCACCACAACCACAAATGTTGAACACACAGCCACAGATGTTGCACGCACACTCTGCATTACCCAGAATCATAGAAGGTTCAGGTAATTCATTTGGAAGGTTTGTAATGGGGAAATGGAAATGGATCCCACAGAGCCCATTGCTGCCTTGGCACGGAGCTTTCAGCTACCACTGCAGAGGGCAAGAGCAAGCACTAAACCCTTGGATGATGCAATAAGTGATGCATAGCAGAATTGCCCCCTGTGTGCAACAAATCAGGTGTCTTCTGCTTGAAGCTGACCAATAAGAACAGGGGGAAAATGTTCGAAGAATAGAACTAATGAGTAGATAGTCATTAGCAGACAAGGGAAAGAAATGCATGGAGAAGGAATTCCATACAAGATGAGACCAGACCAACACCAAAACTTGGCCCATGTGAGGACAAAGATGGCCTTTGCCTCCGACCATGCAGCTTCTCAAGATCTAGAGATAACGAAGCATTCATGGACAAGATCTGATCTGCATGCAAGGACAGTGGCTGACGTACACTCCTTTGAAAGCTGGAGGTTTCACTTAAGAATGTGCAAGGTTAGGAAGATAGATCACATAGGAAGAGTGATGATACAAGAGTAGAGAGATCTACAGAATCCTTTCAGAACCTTTACAGAACCCAAAATATTATGCTAAGGGATTTCCCTTCCTCTCCAGGAATCCACCACGTTATCCTTACTGGAGATACAGTAATGAAATCACATGAAGAATCTCACTTTTACAAGAAAAGCTTTCAAATCATGCTTTTGTGCATGATGCACCCCACTCTAGGACATAACCCAAGAAGGCTTTTAAAAAGGCCTGCTGTGAGGCTGTGTAGAAAGAAAGCTGTGGAAAGAACAAACACCAGTAGATCAGTCTGGGAAAACAATGATTTTATTCTTCACGTTAAAAGCAAAAAATGGAGATTGTTGTTTGACAGGTTAGCACCTACATGACGATGCAGCTCCAACGTGTCCTGATGAGCCCGAGAGTGTAGGGCCAATAAAGATTCACCTTAACAGTTCCTAAAATGATGGAGGCACTCTGAACGAAGGGACACACAATCTGTTCCAAGGTCTGTGCAAATCAGCAGTGGCATGAAGATACGAGGAGAACGAGGCAAAACAGCAAGACAGTTTTCTCCATGAAGATGCCTACTCACCTTAAGAGCACAACTTTAGTGGCTCGGGGTCTTTCTTTCCAGCGCTGTTACCCATGGAAAAAAAGGGAAAGAACTTCCCTTTCTTATCACTCTCAGCAATGTTGAAAGTATACAGAGTCGTTTGACCTTGGGGATCGTAGAATGACAGCTGTCCAGCTGAGATGTCCAGTAGCATCCCAATCTTTCGTGGTTTCGACCTCACATTCAAACGTGTCCAAGGGTCAGTGCAGGCCCAGTACTCTACCCCGTCAGACAGAGCCATGACCCAAAAGCCATTTCTGGGGCAGAGAATCACTGTCCCTTTCCTAGTCACAGCTTCAGAAGCTACTCCCAGTTCCCAGCTGTTTTTCTTTCCCACGTCCACTTCCCAATAGTGCTTGCCAGTGTTGAAACCCTCGGTTGCCAAGATGAAGATGTGGGAGTCGAACCTTTTGCTATTCATGGCCACATCTCTGTTAGTCCCTGTATCCTTTACACTCTTTCCTTCATCAAAGACTTCCAGTCTAGGGTGAGCTGTGTCAGCATCGAAGGTTACAGAATTTTTGTCTGAAAAAAAAGCAGGAGTCATCTTACTAGCTCTTCCTCCTCTGGATAACAGTCAATCAGGCAATCTGAATCGTCACCCCAAAAGCAAGAAAATAGAACCCAGCCAACTATATTCTTATTTCCTTTATTTCCTAATTTTATTCTTTATTCTTATTTCCTTATTTCTAAATAAACAAGTGCATTGGAGACAACCTTCAGTCCCTCCACACTGCCTGTATCTGACGTGCTGATGCAGGGAAGAGAGACGTGCATCGCAGCAGGGCAAAGATTTCATGGTGGTGGTAACCACTAGTGCAGGGGCAATGACAAGAAAGTAGGATTGAAGGGAGGAAATGGGTGGAAATACACAGAAATGAAATCAGCAGCCTTTGTCACAGAGATACACCACGTTTTCTGTTCCATCCATCATTCAGGTAATTATCAGGTTGAACACACTTGCCCTTGTTGCACAGGATCTTAACTTTGGAAGGGAATAAATCTGTGGCTCGTACTGTGAATTTGTCACCAATGAAGACACTCAAGTGTGCACGTGTGGCACTCTGGGATGCTCCAAAGATGAATTCACACTGCTATGAATGCACCCTGTTACTGGTGCACAGAAGATTTCTTAAGAGACAAAACTTTGAGCAAATGAGACAACTCATTTTTGGGTGCTGTTCCACATGCAACACACATTACCCAGGATTCTCCCAACAAGTTCAAGAGCTCTCACCCAAAAAGACAAGTTTCTCCAGGTATTCTGCAGATAAAGACATGAAAATAGTGAGTAGGTCAGATCAGCTCAGAAGGTGATGATTTGCATAATGGAAAAATAATGATCTTCCAGATTAGAGTGGGCATCTCCACAGCTGATGGCAGTGCTCATTACTGAGATGCTCCACACAAGAGCTCAATACACAGAGAAGCCAACTGAGCCTTCAGCATCCTTGTCATCTGCAAGATGATGTGGTTGTCAACCAAAAATTATACAAAGCACTGGCACAGAACAGAACGCAGCTCAGCTGCTCATACGAACAGGGCGTACATCAACCTCATAACTACACGTTCTGCAGCTTTTAAGTGAGATACTTTCCACCATAATTTCACTTCGTATCACAGGTGATAACCTTCAACATCCTTCCCACTGAAGTGCAATGAGAATAGTCTGGGACTTCCTGACTGCCAAAAATCTCCCTTTCTCTGTGGTTTAATTGCGAAGAACAAACCAAATCAAGGGTCAGAAAAGCTTACCAGTTCTTCTCCTTAAGGACTCTGAAAAAGAATATAAATCACCCACATTAAATTAAATTAAAACATTTTTTTTTTAAATCTCAGCATTTCTATTAAGGAAGAAGAAGAGACATAGCTGATTGAGGTGCAAGTAGTCTTTTGAGGAGACAGGGTTAGGAGAAGAATCTCAGAGTGAGTTAAGCTGCCGTCCAAGAGGGAGAAACAGAAATTAAATGGGACAAGAACATCGGCCAGCCTGGAAAACAGCAAGCAGCAGGGATCAGGGGCAATTCAGTAGAGCATTTTAGGGTCAGAAGGAATAACAGAGTGTTGCAATGGAACTGATTGCGTTGCATTCACTTTTGTTTAATTTTTACCACTTGTGCAAGCTCCTTTAAGACTAATAGGAGGGGGATAGATTCACTTACCTATCTCCTCATCAAGTTTTTCTGAAGCTGAGATAATGGTTTCTTCTGAAGGTGAAACTAAACAAAACAACAAAAACACATGTAACGTTCAACTTTCAGGGTTAATTATTTGAAAGATAGAATCATAGAATTATTTGTCCATTTAGGCTGGAAAAGGCTTTCAAAATCATCAAGTCCAACCATCAATCTGTTTCATCACTAAACTGTGTCCCTTAGTGCCTTAGAGCCACGGGCTGCAAGGAATTCCTGCTTAGCCACAAGACTTTGAAGCAAATGTCCTTTGCAGTCCTTCATAACCAGGACTTCATTGTTCAGAAAGGGGGGGAAAAAAGATTTTCATGGATCCCACAAGAGAGCAAAATTAGGACTGTGAGAAGGAGGAGTTGTTTGAAGCTTCTCATGGGAAGCTTTGAAGAGATTTTGGGCAAAATTTACTGCAGGATACTTAGGGAAAGGTAGAAGGGAGTTGTTGAGGTGCACTTGGGAGGAATACTCAGAAAGAAAGGAAAAAAAGTCTGGCTGGTTGATGCGCCTGTCTGCCTAGGTGCTGTACAAGATTCCTTTTTGTCCCTCCAACATCTTTCTGAGCTGTGAGGTGTCACTATTAGAAGCAGTAACTGCACATTATTTTGTTAGCACACATCTGCACAGAGATTGCACAAACTTTCCTTCTTCTGCAGGGGTGTTTCCTGCAAAAGATCAAAAGCACTTTCAGACAGCGCAAAGCCCCTGGGTTACAAAGTGTTTCTGGTAACATCATCGACCAGCTCGAACCCATGCCTTCGTCCAAGGGGTCTTGGGATGCAAAATGATACTTTAAAAGGCAAAGCAGAGAACAGATCCAAACAGCTCTTCTGGTTTTTCTAATAATCTTTTAGGAAAAAAAGAAAAAAAAAAAAAAGGAAGAAAGGGAGAAAGGGAGAATGGAAGAAAAAGAGAGAGGGAGAGAGGGAGAAAAGAAGGAAGGAAGGAAGGAAGGAAGGAAGGAAGGAAGGAAGGAAGGAAGGAAGGAAGGAAGGAAGGAAGGAAGGAAGGAAGGAAGGAAGGAAGGAAGGGAAAAGAAAAAAAACAGAAAGAAAAAAGAACAAAAAAGAAAAAAAGAAAAAAGAGAAAAGAGGAAAAAGGAAAAAGGAAAGAGGAAAGAGAAAGAAGGAAATAGAAAAAAAGAAAAAAGAAAAAAAGGAAAAAAGAAA